GGAAGAAGGCTCCTCAGAAAGAAAAGTAGGTTATTTCATTCCCAAATATTACTTTGAGATGACAGGACAGTTAATCAGCTGCTTCCTGTTTACATAACATGTACTTTATCTGAGACTGAAATACCTCTGTTCTGTATTTTATATCCACCTTTATACTCTGCAGGGTGGGGGAGAAGGGAAACATCAATTTCTATGAAGCTATGCATTTCCTATGGCTACTTTTTGGAAAACCCAGCACAATAGTTGCAGCTTTGTTCCATTCTAATTAAAATGCTAAACCTACACATCTAATAAGATTTGAATAGGAAAATGCTTTGTTAATTTAGATATGTCTTATTTACAGGTGGGTAAATGGTTACCATAGGATACAGCCACAGTTCAGAGCTACACAGAGCACTCTGTGTGGTATACTTTGGAGTGCAATTACAGGAGCTCTCTGAACTGCAAACAAAGACTGTAAAGAATCTCTTTTTTAAAAGATATAAGAAAGAAATCTCTTCTTTAACAAATATTAGAATAGAGTATGTCTAGTCCTTATGACTAAGGGGATACCATCTTTTGGGGATACCATCTTTTCCCCTTTAAGCTTATCTATCTAAAGCTCTGAGATGAGATTTGTGTGTGGGAGAGGGGGCTCCAATGATCAAGGCTCTTTCTGTACCCCAGGTCATGTTATTCACCCAAAGACTGCAGCCTGCATCCCTCAGCTTTCTACTTACAGCTCTGCTAATCTGAAATGTCCTAGTTCACCTTCCAGTCTTCCAAACAGCAGTGCAGCCTCTGGTGTAACAAAAACTCTGTGAGCAATCCTTAGCTCTCACAGTTTTCAGGAGCAACCATATGTCATTTCCCCCACACCAGAGTTTTTCCGGGTTTTTAAATACAGCTATGCCAATAAAGGTTGTGATGATGATGAAAATATTGGTAATTGATGTATCGCTATAAAGGAATAATGTTGTAAGGATCTATTGAAACAATATACTAGATCCCAACGTCCATGTTTTTTAAAAAAATTCTAGCCCTTTTTCTTGTGAAGTTATAAGGCAAAACATGCAGGTCAAACTTGCACCTAATAACTTGCCAAAGAAAGGGCTAGAAACTTACTTTAAAATAATGAAGCCTAGGAACTGACAGGTTTTCACAACAGATCATTATAGCTTCATTATGCAATGGCAGCCTAGCAAGTCTTGAATTAATTTTTACCCCTCTGGTTTAAAGACAGGATATGGTAGCTGCGGTGGCTCAAGTGGTTAAGACGCTGAACTGCAGGCTGTGGAAGGTCAGTAGTTCAGCGGTTCAAGACCCGGGTGCCGCAAGACAGGGTGAGCTCCTGTCTCTAGTTCCAGCTCCTGCCAACCTAGCAGTTCGAAAGCAAGAAATTGCAAGTAGATAAATAGGTACCACTTCGGTGGGAAGGTAACAGCGTTCCGTGCGCCTTGGTGTTTAGTCATGCCGGCCACATGACCACGGAAACGTCTTCGGACAGCGCTGGCTCTTCGGCTTGGAAACGGAGATGAGCACCGCAACCCTAGAGTCGGATTCGACTGGCTTTCGAGCAAGGGAAACCTTTACCTTTACCTTTACCTATGGTAGCTGAGGGAAAGAAAGTGCTTGGAAAACTGCTGAGTGGATCCTTTGTTACCACCACAAATGCCTCTGCATTCACAGCAGCTGCAACAGCTGCACAGAGAATCATCTCTCAGTGGAAGCAGCCTTATTTTACTACAGTATGAACCTGTCATCATCCAGGATTGGTGCAAACACGTAGGATAAAAGGAACATACTTCCACTCACCTCTCTGAGTTTTGTCAATTTCTGCATCCGAACAGGTTGCACTTGTATTTGGAGATCTTTAAAAGTTGATGGCTTCGTTGAGGTGTTACTGGATTTATTCATAATGGAAACATTTTTATCATAATCAGATGGTTGTTTAAAAGGTGCTTTTTCTATATTACCAGGTTCTACGTGATCCCATGATATTGATCGTAGTAGAGGAGGGTGTGTACCAGGTGTAGTAAGGTCTGTTTTACAAGTAACTTTTGAATCCTTCAGTAATGGTACCAAACCTTTTAGCTTTGGATCTACTGTAGCCATTTCTGGTTCTTGTGAATTGCCTTTGAAAGGAAAATCTTTTCCTTTTGTTATTTTAAAGAATGGTTTTCCAAGTTCATGTTCACAAGTATTTGCACTGCTTTTAAGAGATAGTCTGCCAACATCAGTAACTGAAGTGCAAGATCTAGACAGATTATCCATAAGTTTATGTGGATCAAAGTTTTCCTTTTGTTCAGACAGATTCTCTTTTGGGTTTTCAAAACCAGTTAAGCGAGGAAGCAATCTTCCCTGAGAAAGTTTTCTTTGATCATTCTGTTTCTGATCATTTAGTCCTTTTGTAGCATTCTGAAATGAAAGAAAACTTATTAACAAAATTGTAATATCTTTTAAAAATTCATTTAACAAAACCTATTTAAAGGACAACACACTAGAAAGATTTGTTATAGCAAACTGCTACTTGACTTCAATAAATATGGTTTTAAGTAAAAATGGTACAATTGGGTGCATAATGAAGTATTTACAAACAAAGCAATGGACAAATTGCCATACTGTCTAGTTTCTAGGAAGGACAACCCCCTTCTCTAGAAACCCACAAACCATGTTAGTTCCTTAGAACAGCTTCCCCGATCTGTGCCTCTGTTCAAACACGGTATGGACTTCTTATCCAGCCATCCAGACATGGTATAGCATGGCTGCTTCCAGGCAGTAAGGACTCTCTGGCTGTAGTCACACACACTAAATAATCCACTTTCAATGCACTTTCCAACTGGATTTTGCCAGCTCACAGAGTAAAATCCAGTTGGAAAGTGCACTGAAAGTGGATTGAAAATGGATTATTTAGTGTGCGACTGATTCCGCAGTGTCAAGTTTCCCTGCGCATGCACTTCTAGTCATCTGCTGCTTTCCCTAGTTTCCGCCCTCCCAGGCACAAAAACTCAGTTTGCCCCCTCTTGCTGTGCAGCATCGGAATCACCTTCTTTCTGGGAAGTTTTTCCAATCCCAGCACTGAACCCGTGCCAACCTAGTGGGGAAATATTTGCTCATCCGTTGGTTTTCAGATCTAGGTCCGCCCTCCCCTCCCCTCTACATTTGCATGTTCCACCCACCAATTTCACATTACTGCAGAACAATCTCCAGTTAATTAGCTTATAGTGTCTGATTCTAAGGGCTCTTCTGCTGTTGACTGTAGCAGATAGTGCTGTGGCACATCCGCTGGGATTCTGATTTTTTTAAAAAACTTTTTAATTGCATTTGAACACAATTTTGGTCGTCATATCCTGCTTAGTTAATGTCTTAAAATCTTTTTAAAATAAATGTGAGAGTGTGCTGAGGGAGGAATGCAGTTTTGGCTATTCTGGCCTACTCAGCAGCCTGCATTCCTCCAGAGCATCACATTTGAAAACATGGCTGACATCAGTCAGAGCCCTACCCCTCCCCAATTTTAGATCGCTCCTGTAACGTTTGCAATAGCATTTTAAAAAAATGTATTCCAGGTCATAGGGAGAGTCTGCCAGCCAAAGCTCTGTTCAAACGTTTATTCTGCCTCATTTTGCTTTGTTGAAAAGAGACAGTCCCAAGCTACACTTTTCCTCCCAGCTCATGACAATCGAACAGTCGGTTTGGATCCCTTGAAGTGTGCATGCGCACACACACAAACAGACACACAGAGGCACAGTATAACTAAATGATGGGGACATTGCAGCAAAAATATGCAGAGAGAAGCAGAGAGAACATAAGAACATAAGAGATACCAATGTTGGATCAGGCCAAAGGCCCATCCAGTCCAACACTCTGTATCACACAGTGGCCAGAAATACCAGTGCCATCAGGAGGTCCACCAGTGGGGCCAGGACATTAGAAGCCATCCCACTGTTGACCCCCCCCAAGCACCAAGATGACAGAGCATCACTTGCCCCAGAGTCCCTATCTATACCTTGTGGCTAATAGCCACTGATGGACCTCTGCTCCATATGCTTATCTAATTCCCTTTTGAAGCCGTCCATGCTTGTAGCCGCCACCACCTCCTGTGGCAGTGAATTCCATGTGTGAATCACTCTTTGGGTGAAGAAGTACTTCCTTTTATCCGTTCTAACCCGACCGCTCAGCAATTTCATGGAGTGCCCACGAGTTCTTGTATTGTGAGAAAGGGAGAAAAGTACCTCTTTCTCTACCTGCTCTTTCCCATGCATAATCTTATAAACCCCAATCATGTCACCCCTCAGTCGTCGTTTCTCCAAGCTAAACAGAGAGCCATTGTTATGAGCTAGCTGAAGCACCACGGGTATGCAGGATCATCCTCAATAGGGATCTGCTGCCCTGCAGAAGTGCCTCTTTGCTTCTACCTGTGTTCTACCTGCATATTTTCAAGTAAAACAAATACTGCAAGATGCCATATGTCCCCATATGTTCTCCAAAGGGATCCAACCCAGATATGGACTAGATGGAACTTCCTACTACTCAGAGACATGGAGTAGTAACTACTTAACTCATTCTTACCTGCAGCGGAGACACTGAACCAACAGTGAATGTACACGTATCAGAACCTACAAAATGAAGAACAGGTGATAAAGCCATGGCAATGTATTTCAATATTGTACTTAATCCCCAACACAGTGCTTTCTTGCATGATTTTTTCCCCATTGGTTCTGGCTCATACTACTTCAGTTTAGCCCCCAATTTCCACATGCATTTTTGTGCCTTTAGTTTTCACTTTGGTTTCCCCCCCGTTTCCCCCCCCCCCCCGGTTCTTTTGAGACTACTTTTACCCCAATCTTTTCCTGGGTTCTGATTTTGAGACACCTATTTCTTTGTGCATAATGTTTCTGCTTGTTTTCTTCATTCGGTCCACTCCCACCTACCTCCAGCACACTTTCTGATGATTGGACCATCATGGTCAAAACATCCTCTCTCCGCTGCCCAACCCTGAATACGAGTGGTTTTGTCTTCTTTTTTTTACACAGCACTAAAATATTGATATATCGCTAGAGCATTGTAACAACAGGCTCAGCAGATTCTCTGAATTCCCAGCTTTAATTTTTAAAAACAGTAAGTCTCTAGCTCATTCTCTTCCAGAAATATGCCCTTTTCCTTATATTTTTGTGATGGAAAGGGACGGTTACTTTTTTAAATGAAAGCTGGGAATTCAAGAGGACCTGCTAAGCCTATTGTTATAGAGCTCTAATGATAAACCAATATTTTAGTGCCTTATTTTTTAAAAAAGGGAGGTGCTGTGATGCCACTGGTGACACTACCAATCACAAAAGCACCCTCCCTTGAAAATCCTCATTATTGAATGCACATGTGGAAGAAAATAAACCGACTTTACAACTGTGAAAATGAAAAAGAGGGAGGGCAGATGCGAAGAAGAACTCCAAACTGATTCTGGCGTTTGTGGATCAATTGCCAAGAAAATCAGGAGTAAGTGGAGTGTGCGGAGTCATAAATGACACATACTTGACTTAAAGGGGATTTCTATTCTATCATCTACTTTCCCCCACTTGTGAAGTGACACATGTCCCATGATTTCTGGGCAACTTTATTTGAGAAACCTTAATCAAATGATTCTTTGGAGTGGGGGATCAATTTGATTTATGTATGAACAATGAGAACATGCAGTATTGATCTTACCTGTTGGACTTGGAAGATTGAAAGAGTTGCTCCGAGATGGTGCAGGTGAAACACTGGGACTAAGCGTCGGGGACATGCCTATATTATATCAAGAGGGTGTTTTTTTAAAAGAAAAAGAGAGAATTGTTTCTAAAAAACCTCTGGCACTTTCACAGGAATATTGGATCATCTGAGAACATGCAGTATTGATCTTACCTGTTGGACTTGGAAGATTGAAAGAGTTGCTCCGAGATGGTGCAGGTGAAACACTGGGACTAAGCGTCGGGGACATGCCTATGTTATATCGAGAGGGTGTTTTTTTAAAAGAAAAAGAGACAATTGTTTCTAAAAAACCTCTGGCACTCCCACAGGAATATTGGATCATTGAGGCCTTTATATAACCTAGAACTATTTAGGGCCTTTATATAATCCAGAACTTTTGATGGCCACCTGGATGCTGCCCTGAAAAATCTGCTGCAGGATTGGAGACTGTGGTGGGGTCGTTAAAAAAGAGCAGGCTGAGACTGAATCCAGCTAAGGTGGAGGTGTGTGTTTAAGGGTTGGGGCATAGGGTGTGGCTGGGTGTGTGTGTTTAAGGGTTGGGTCATAGTCTTCCCGCTCTCAACAGGGCGCTGTTGACACCGGTGAAGTCCATCAAGAGTTTGGGAGTTATCTTGGATACCTCCTTGACTATGGAGGCGCAAGTCTTGCATATTGCCAGGCTGGCATTTTCCCATCTGCTCCAGGCTCAGCAATTGGCTCCTTTCTTGTTGCACCCTGACCTAGCCATGGTAATCCATACAATGGTCACCTCCAGGCTAGACTATTGTAACTTACTTTACACTGGCCTGCCCTTGAGACTGACCCAGAAGCTCCAGCTGATCCAAAATGCAGTGGCGCAAGTCCTGACGGGAACATCATGGATGGCGCACATATATCCTGTGCTGCACCATCTGTGCACTCATTGTACAGGTACAAAATAATTCAATAACTATATCAACATAAAATATATGTTTAACCAAGTAAATTTAAAAGTTTGAGCCCCCCCTAGGGTTGCCAAATGGCACTTACCCTTGCAGCGGGGGACTCCAGCCTGGCTTCCGGTGTGTGCGTGTGTGGCTGCCATTTGAGGGGAAAACATAGAGTTTTCCCCTCAAATGGCTGTGGCCCCACCCCCAGCATGCCCGGCGTCATGACGTCACTTCCCTGTGACGTGCACGCGGGGGTGGGGTTTCCCCCGGGGCCCGATTCCGCAGGGGCGGAAATCGGGCCTCCAAAGCAGGGGGAAATCCGCCCCCCGGGGGGATTTGGCAGCCCTATATCTGCAGGACCTTATCCCCTGATGTGTCCCCAGGAGAACATCATGCTCCTTGGATCGCAATCTGCTGGTGGTCCCTGGCTCCAAATATATCTGGCTGTCCTCGACCAGGGTCAGGACCTTTTTGGTCCTGGCCCTGACTTGGTGGAATTCTCTGCCGAACACTATAAGGGCCCTGCGGGATCTTACGCAAATCCACAGGGCCTCTAAGGCAGAGATGTTCCACCAGGCTTTCAGCGGAGGACAGGAACAGTTTCCACTCTGGCAGGCACCCTCTCCTTGCTCTCCAGATTTGTTTTGTTCCTCTTCTTCACTTGCCCACCAGGTGGCTGAGCAGTCCATCTGGGTTCTTTTAAATCTGTTGTACTAGTGCTGTCTCTGTATCTTATTTTTATGGTGTTTCTGTTTTTATCTACAGTTGTATATTGCCCAGAGCCTTGCAGCAGCGAGGATTGGGTGATTCAGAAATTTAATAAATAATAATAATAATACTGAAAAGAGTGTAGGTGTGCCATTTTTTTCAATATGTTCTCCCACAGCTGCTTTAAGCCTTGATAGGAAAAGTATGATCACCATTATATCAGTACCTATCTTTTCCCCTTGCTGGGGCTAAAGCAGTCAGGGTAGACAACATGGTGAGAGAAGAGTTAACCCATTTCCCCAACTAACATGGCACCAATTCCGACCTCTCTTCCTTTCTCACTAACACACTCACTTTTAGGGGGTTTCTCACTAACGCACTCACTTTTAGGGGGTATCTCACTAACATATTCTGTGAACACTTTTAGGGCCAAATTACCTATTACCTGTCTGGAGTTCCAATCAGGGAACTCCACCATCATATATAGTATGCCCTTTAGGTATTTTGAGACCCAGTCCTCATATTCAGAACTACAATATGATATAGGCTTCTGCAGGTGGCAGGTATCACATCTGAATATTGTTTCAGGTTATCCCTATTCCTAAATGCCCTGTATATCTGCATTTTGCAGTGGTACAATGTCAGGAAAGCTATAACCACATGTTTTTTCCCTGAAAGTATAGACTGGATCTTAGTATGCTGCCTTCGATTACAGAGGAAGAGAATTAACTGAAGGAAAGAAGGGTTTAGACTCTAACCCCAAGTTTTTCCAGTCATCTCCCTCTCACTGGCTACAGAAAACTGATTTTATACTGTTAGGCAAAATATCTGAAACCTTTTTTACAGGACCAGCTTCCCTTCAGAAACTTAAGTGCTCAGATTATGCAAATAGGTTCTTTATTTTGGCTCATATAACATACATCTCAAAAAGAAACGAGTGTGGTTCTACGACAAAGTTGAGAACTATGTGGAAAAAGGCATAGAATGCTAATAATTCTAGACTCTACAAACAGTGGCACCACGCTAGACCCAGTCTTGCAATTATGTTCCACCTGGTCTGAAGTCAAACGGAAGTGCCAAATCCCTTGAGAAAATCCCTTAACAAGTTTGCCTCTCAGCCTCAATCTCTTGCTGGTAAAATGAAGCTGTTATATGCCTAAAGAATTATGAGATGCTTTGCATACTGAAAGCTTGGCAAGAAGCAGTTACTTCTGAAGAATATTCCTCCCTTCTAGGCAATGACAAAAAGAGAAAATGTACCCTGGGCCATTTTATTAAGTGTTGTGAGAAAGACAAGGAGCTAAGGGGATATAAGAGACAGAATATGAGAAGAGGCTCCAAATGTCAGGAATATGTTGACGATAAGAGCAACTCAGCAATAAAATATCCGCCTTATATGGTTAAGCTGACAGAATCTTTAGAGGAAAGATGGTAGAGTTGGTCAATGTGGCAGGCTATATAGGATATGTTATCTTATGATAAGGCTTGGGGTCCTCCAAGGCCTTTAACTATGAAAGTGACATGAGGCATACCTACAACAAACCCAGGGTTCTGAAAGTTCAAGTGGAAAAATATACATGATCACACATATCAAAGAGGGCAGAGGGTAATTGTACTCCGGTACATGAGGTGGCGTGCCAAAACGTAATGACTGAAAAGTGCTAGAAACTATTAAAATCACTAGCCACAGATCAGTTGACCATTCACAACAATCAAGATGACTAAATATGCATCAGTATAAAGGGTTCTTTGACAGAAAAGGATATTATAGAACAGAAGCAGTGATAATGCAGACATGTTGACTGAACTACAGTTTTTTTGGAGCAGGGATTTTGATATAACTTAGAAAACACACTGTCAGGTAATCATTCTACATCCAGTTCTACCTAAGAGTCTCAAAATTTCATCCTCTGTAGTTCAAAAACTTGGTAACGTCTAGGGTTACCATATTTTGAAAAGCGAAAAAGAGGACACATTTCCCGACTACTTCAAATAAGTGATCACTATGACAAATCTCATTTTAAATACCTGTACTATTTAAGTTGAAGCTTGCCTCCACTGGGAGACTATAGGGCAAAACAGGCTCAGCCTCCCAACCCCTAAAGAGGACATTTTCATTAGATTTTTAAAAAGATCCCAAAAGAGGACTGACACACAAAAAGGAGGATATGTCCTCTAAAAAGAAGACATCTGGTAACCCTAGTAAAGTTAATCTTACAGAATGCAGAGTTATCTATTCTGTCACTGGAACTAGTGTAGAGTAATGTTTAGAGTATCCAACTAGGACTGGTGAAACTTTGGTTCAAATCCTTCTTTGGCTATAAAGTTCACTGGGTGACTTTTATCCAATCATGCTCTCACACTTGAGCCTAACCTACAAGGTCATTGTGATGATAAAATGGAGCTGGGAAGAACCATGTGTTGTACCGTGAGCTCCTTGGAGGAAGAGCAAAGCAAGAATATAATAGATGATAAAGACACTTCCCATAACAGGTGCTACACAGTACAGTCCTCCTCACCTTGCAGATAAAAAGAGTTGGCGCAACCCTGATTGCTCATTCCAAGCCTTGAAAGCCATAAATAGTGGACCAGTCAGCATATAGCAAAGATATATTTGTGATGAAGTCTCACTATATATGATCTCATGTACAATATATTCCAAAGAGGTAGCCATATTAGTGTATTGACATTGTAGTAAATATTGCAAGGAGTGCTGTGGCTCTTAAACTATATAGCAGCGTAAACCTTACAACTTAGCTATGACATATCTGATAGTTGTCATGGCTCTAGAAGATGATAATGTATTCCTTACTCTAAGAGGCACACTGCATATCTGATAACCATGAATTCCATTTGCATAGTGTTTCAAAGCACCCGTCACAAAATGTATGCACCTGTGGGAGACTCTGAAAGGCTGCTTCTTGATTTTCTTCCTCTGCGTGTGAGGAACCTCTCACTCACTCGCTTTGCTTCTTCTAACAACTCAAGGTTCTTCTTTTTATCTTCATCAGAGATTTTAACTTCTGGCAGTTGATCATTCACCAAGTCAATCACATGACCTGTATTGTCTAAATAGCAAAGTATTCACGTTACAAGTTATACAATAGAATCGTACAGTTAGTTCCATCTATCTGCCTTGTGTACGGACTGATTTTTACCCTTGATACAGTTATCCAGTTGCACTCAAGAAGCAACTTGAGGAGATCTGTGATATGTCTCCTGTCCTTTTTAAAAAGTTAGCAAGCAGCTGCAGGGTCCCCTGCACAATTTTCGGAGCAGAATAATTCCCCTTGAGTTGCCATTAGCCCTGGGGAGGGAAATCAGTGATAGGCCATTCAAGGAATGGCCATCAGCTACAAAGTACTTTATGGCTTTGGTCCCACGTAAATGCAAGGCTGTCCCTATACTGTGCTTCAGTGTGTGAATTTCACTCATCTGAGCAAAGCGTTCTGCGGATGCCACCCTCCAAATGGGTACAACTAGCAATGGTTTGTACATATGCATTCTGTGTTGTGGCTCCCACCTTGTAGAACAGTATGCCTGAGGAGATCAGGAAGGCTCCCACACTTCTATCATTTCACAGAATGTGCAGGACGGAAATCCTCAGGAGGGCATTTTGTATAAAGGGATTATAACTGTAATGTCATAGAACAACTCAGGAGGATGCTTTTGTAAAGGAGTAGGACTGAAGGCTATCACAATGTTTATTGTATGTTATCATCTTACTTTTACTGCATTGTCTTCTTTGTAATCTACTTCTGCATTATGGTATGCTATACCTTGGACAGTTTTTACCTTGAATGGTTTTCCAGTTCTGAACTTTGAGTCCTGTCACATTGTTTATTGAATGTTTTATACTGTCTGATCGATTTTTTTTTTTTTACATTTTATAATCTGTCCTGAGTCTCAGCAAGAAACTTGAGCAAAAGAAAAAACACACCACTCGTTCGACCACATCATCTGATCATTCAATGATGGACTGAGCCCGCAGCGAAGTGGATTATGCTAGGATGTCTGATTGAACGTCTCCGTGTCAAATAACACCGGATGAAATGAGGAATGCATCCCCAATGTTGTAAGTGTCCCATGTGACCATAGCCTTAGAGTGTAAATGTTAACTCCTTCCAGAAACTATAAATCTTTAGCCGGTTTCCCTCAGAATCTAGGCCCTGATACCGCTACCAGTGTTCCTTCTAAGCTGAGTTAGTGTGAGCTAGTTCACAGTTTTTTAGCCTCCAGCTCACACATTTTTCTCTTAGCTCAGGAAGGATGGCTCCAGAGCAAACTGATTTATGCAGTATCCAAATGTCTCGCTCACAACTTTAATGCCAGTGGCTCACAAAGTAGAATTTTTGCTCACAAGACTCCGCAGCTTAGAGGGAACATTGACCGCTACAGTCTCTTCCCAAATCATTCACTGTTCTAACCTGCTTTCCCAGAAAAGACTGTCCCTGAGACCTGTACAGTCTCCTGGGAAAAGCATTTTCTGCCTACCCCTCTATAAGCCCAAACCTTATCTCCAAACATTCACTGTTTCAGCCTGCTTTACACACAAGACACACTCTGAGATAGGATCCCTCCAGTCTCACTCTCTGAAAGCTCAGACCCTATCTATGTTGAGCTGACA